GCTGGGGGGGTGGCGGGGGGTATGGAGATCTGTTGAAGCAGAAGTCCCATCCCCAACTGCCAGGACTTATGGCAACATCAACACATCCTGCAAGCATCCAGGTAGACTGCAAAAAGCCATCAGTCCTGCATGTTTTTTACAAACAGTACTTGGTCTCCTGCAGACCCAGGGCCACAAGCATCTACAGCCCTGAGAGACACACATGGAGCCAATTGAAATGAATGGGAGGACAGAGGGAAAAAGGAAACACTGCAGAGGAGCAGAGGAAGGGAGAGAAGGAAGGCAGGCACGGGCACAGGTGGTGGGAATGGGGGAACTTCACCCACCTGGACCCCCCTCCAGCCTTAGGCAGCTTCTCTCTAAATGTTCTTATCTCTTTGGGAACCAAGATAGCTTTGAAAATCTTCTCTTAAAAAAAATATGCATGCACATGCAAGTGTACCACTTGGCCCACAATTCCAGGGGCTATTTAGACTCCTCCGAGGAATGCCATCCTTCCTCCCCTGACACTCAGTCTGAAGCTTCAGCCTCACCATGGTGCGGCTCTTCAGGGCAGCAATCATAAAGCAGAAAAGAGAAAACTCAAGAGGACGGGAACAAGGGCAGGGTATATAAGAGAGGAGGAATAAGTAAAATGATGTTGCTTTTTGTCTTCCCGCAATAATTTTTTCCCCTAAATCGTTGCTTCAGAAATTGAGCCAAATTAAAAAAAAAAAAAAGATAGATAGAATCCTAATTGCCTCCAGGATAGATAGATATAGATAGATAGATGAGAGAGAGAGAGAGAGAGAGAGAGAGAGAGAGAGAGAGAGAGAGAGAGAGAGATTAATAAATGGCCCTCTGATCCCCACAAAACAATCTGGACTCCCATTGCTTCCACATCAAGACCCTCACAATCACTACAACTTGAACGAAATCCATTAAACGTTCATTTGCTCTTGGAAAATAATCCCCAACAGTTAATTTTCTCGAAAGGTGATGATACTGTAACTCTGTCAAGCCAAGATATTTTATCCGTCTGCTTCTCCTGGCTGCAATCTGTCTCCGTGTAGGATTTTCCATCCTCCTCTAAATGCAATGTCATGCAGAAGACTCAAAGGGGAAGGTAAAAGGATTAGGAGATGGATCGATGGAAGATATTAATGCTCTTTCATGTTGGGTTGAAGAAGGATTTGAGGTCATCAGGAGAGAGAGTAGCAGGAGAATAGACCTCAAGTATTCAAAAGACTCTCTAAATTAAAATCCTATTAAACTCACATCGGCTTCTCCAGGAGGCATTTTAGAAGGTTGGGTGGGATTTCTTTAACCTGTCACCATAATGAACCTTCCCTTAAGCTGTTTTGGGTGGGAAACTTTAGCAATTAAGAAAGTGAAAAGTTTCATTTTCTATCACCCACATGGCCTTTTGAACGGTTTAAAAACTAGAGTGGAAAGTGGTTTAGCCTAATCGAATTGAAGGGTTCAGATCTCCCACTTCGACCTGCTGTCAGACTTGCCCCTGAGTTCTGAGCCCCTCCCTACAAAGGGCATTTTGTCCAATGAAAAGAATCAAGGTTTCGGATCTGTGCTGACACTTTTCTTTCTCTAATCATTCTCCCACTGAGTTCTACAGAAAGAACAACTCTGCAAAGTGCTGGTCGTTTCCCCTAAGAAGATCTGTTTCTGGGCCCGGATTCCAGTTCACAGAAACTACCCCAGAAACCCAAAGGGCCCGTCTCTCTCCCCAGGTGCAAGGCTGTGCTGTTTCAGCCTCATCTGCATCCCTAGCGGCTGTTCTGTTAGATAGAGGTGAAGGTCAGGAAACCATGTCAGGTAGGAGCAAGCAGCATGGGATGGGGTGGCCTACCATCCGCAGAAAGAAGGGTCACAAGACATGTGTTGTTTTAAAGGGTTGGTCTTAGCATTTTTTTCTTCACTAGATAGAATGTCAATTCAACTTCGAATGTCAGCGCCCTGCTCTTTTGAGCCCTGCCAGGGAATCGAAACTGTGTTACGTTCAGCCTCGATAAACCCAGTGATGATGACACGATACCTCCGTGTGAAAACATCGGCTTTTTCACTTTCGCATTCGCAGGGTTTCCGGAGTTAAGCAGTCTAGTAGAGATCAAATTCCATCAGCCTCGGCTCCGCTGCAGCACCTGTCCCTCCACCGTACTCACCTGGTGTCCCATAGCCCTCATCAGCCGGCGAGCAACTCAAGAAAAGGCAATGTCGACCCTCTCTCTCTCCACTCCTAGCACGGTGCCTGGCTCCAAGCATCGCTCGACACACGCGTTCCCACAAGTGCACAGAATTCACTCTGTGCCTTAAGGCAAGTCACGAGCTCTGTTTTTCACAGTGAAAATGTATAGAGCCTGTTGGGCTGCACGACCTCTGAGGTCATTTTTCCAGTTCTCAGAATCTCTGAAAGAATAGTTGGGTACAGGCGGGCTTTTCGTGACTCCTGTGCTCAGGCTACTTTAACAGTCGTGGTAATGGTAAGAATAGGCACCATCTATGAAGCCCTTGAACATGCTCTGCACTGTTCTCGATGCTCCACAGGTGTTATTTCATTAATCCTATGAGACAGAGTCACTCCCCTCGGGTACAGTGGGAGATTGCGAAGGTCTGTCACTTGCTCAAAATTACACCAAGCATGGTGCACTCTGGATTCGGAGTCTGGGCTCCTAACTATTCTTCCACGGCCCATTAAGAACCTTCTTTCTGCGCCTCCAGGTCAGGCTGCCAGCCTTTCAGCTGATCTACATACATCCTGCCTCGCTCCCCAAGGGGCCCCGTGCCTGCCTGTCAATTGCTTTGATTTCCTACCCCAAGGCCCCAGCTGGCTGGGCCTCCACCTGCTCCAAGCAGAGGCAGAGCTTGGCCCCGGGTCCAGCAGGCCCATTGTCCTGAGAGCCTGCAGCTCCTATTGGGAGCAGGTGGCCGGAAAAGCAAAAGAAGACAGTCGTTGGGGAAGCAGCTTGGAAGGTGAAAGGGGGAGGAAGGCAGACAGGGTTGATCTGAAGAGGAATTCTAAGTTCCCACCCCTGGTGACCTGAGCCCGTGCAGCCAGTACCCTGGAATGGGTGATAGCCACAGGAGGACAAGGGCAGGAGAAGACGAGAGTACTCCGAGGAAGGCCTTGGAGGTATGTTTTAAAAACCATTCCAGTAACCTGTGCTGAGAGGTAAGTCTTGTCTCATTTTAAAGCATCTCTGCCTATTGAAATGCTCTTTTCAGCTACAGAGCCTGAAGTCCTCTTAACCTAAAGTCTTCAGTGTTTTTACCAAAAAAAAAAAAAGTTTGCTCTTACAATAGAAAAAAGTGTTTAATTATTTAGGAAAAATATAGTCCATCTCAGCAATTGTACTCCTAAGTATTTATGCAAATGAGCTGAAAACCCATGTCCACATAAAAATCTGAGCATGTTTACAACAGCTTTATTCATAATTGCCAAAATTTGGAAAAAAAACCAAAATGTCCTTCGATAGGTGAATGGATGAACAAAATGTGATACATCCACACAACGGAACATTTTTCAGCGCTAAAAGGAAATGAGCCATTAAGTCACAAAAAGACATGGAAGAACCTTGCATGCATGTTCCTGAGTGAAAGAAACCAATCTAAAAAGGCTACATACTCTATGATTCCAACTAAATAATAGAGAAAGTAAAAAAAAAAAAATCGATGTTTGCCAGAAGGACTGAGCAAGGAAGGAAGGATGAACAGGTGGAGCGTAGGGCATTGTGGGGGCAGCGAAACCATTCTGCATGAGACTGTAATGGTGGGTGCATGACATTATCCCCCATTGCCAATCACCAGGTCACTATCCGCATTTGTCAAGACCAATAGCACTGTACACAATACAAAGCGTGATCTCTAAACCACAGACTTTAGTTAATAATAAGATATCACTGTGGCTCGTCGATTATAACAAATGTACCACACTAATGCACGAAATCAATAATAGGTGAAACCGGGGTGGGATTGGGGAAGGAGAAAAAGGGCATAGGGAAACCTTGTACTCTCTGCAGTTTTTCCGTAAACCTAAAACTGCTTCAAAAAATAAAAAGACTCTTAAAAATAGTTCACCTGAATATGCTTTGTAGCCTAAAAATCTTCCTCTGTATTCTTTTCAGGATAATCATAATCATAACCACCACCACATACTATCTTTTATCCAGACAGGCACTATTCTAAGCACTGTTTACGTATGATCTCATTGAACTCTCACAAAAGCCCCATGAAAAATTGAGGTCAGAGCAGTTACGGGGACTTGTCAGGGGTCTCAAAGTCAGTAAGCAGAAGAAGTAGGACTTGAACTGAAGTCTGTCCAACCCCAAGCCCATACTTGTAATGCCTACACTTTATATTGTGCTACTTTATTGCCTTATTGCTGAGGGGACACCAATAAGCAGCACTTTAGCAAGTCAATAAGGAGGCAGAGCAAGTCTTGACAAGCCCTCAATTTAATCATTCACTCCAAAATGTTTGCTCAGCACCTGTGTTCTAAGCACTGAGCTAACCTCTGAGGGTGTAAATATAAGAGAATGCCCCTGCCTATAAGAAGCTTGTAATGTAGTGGAAGAGACAGATAAAGAGAGAGGCGATGACGATGAAAGACCTAGGAACATGGAGCCAGGCAGTCCCCAGCCCTAGAACTGGCGTATTATGAGGAGGACATGGGGACATCCCTCTGGTTGGAATGGAGATGATGATGGAATTTGTCTTGAAGTTGTATTTACGTAGAGAGCACCCTAGACACCTAACTATCCCACCTCTGGAGATAGGAGATTGAAAGTGTGATACCCCAGGAACAAGAAATATATAAAAATTGCAGCAACAGAAAGAAAATGACTAATATAATAGCTATCCTGAGGAAAGGGGAAAGGACCAGCTTTTGTTAAATTTCTATATCCTCTCCCTTACTCCCCCAATAGTCTCCCAGGGTACATATGATTTTTGCCATTATTTTATGGATAGTAGAGTCGCTGGTATTACAAAATTCCTCTGTTTCTCACCTGTGTCTTTCTTATTATCGCGGGAAAGCTCATGCACGGTGACACCAATGTCATGCCTCAAGATCTTGATGATGTTGGACAGAGCAAGTGTGCTGCATTTATCCAGATAGGTGAAAAATTCATACTTGTCTTTCTCTAAATGCGAAGGTCTGGATTCGATGTGGGTCAGGTTTATATCATTCTCCTAGAAAAGAGAAAAGAGAGTAAAGGAGACAGTCATGGAATTAACAGACCAAACGTGCAATACACGGGAATGCAGACAAGAGGGACGGGATATTTTTTTTATTATTAGAGTAGAAGAAAGTCCTTAAAATTGCACATTTTTTTGTTTTTGTTTTTTTGGGTTTTTTTTTTTGCAAAACCAAATAACAAATGACATGAGATGGGGTAAATTGTTCCAAGGCTGCTGAATTTAACCACATAGAAATCTGCTGATATTGATATAGGATATTGATTTGGTTCTCATGTCTAGGATAGTGGTTGCCAAAAATATTTACATAGGAAAAAAACCCTTTCCCAAGTTAAATCCTATAGAATCTCAATAATGCTATCTTAGCAAATAAATAATACAGAAGCAACTTTGTCCTGCTTGAAGAGGACCCACAGGAGTCAGGCTTATTGGGTTTAAATTCAGTTCTTAATTTTTTTGGCTATGAAACCTTAAACAATTTACTTTCATTTCCAACCTCAGTTTCCCCATCTGTAATTTGGGAGTATTAATGATACCTGCTTCACAAAGTTGTCGGGACCATTGATGAGGTGATCATGCACATGGCCAAGTACATGATAAATGCTCAGTAAAAATTATCTAGTATAATCACCACTCATATTTTTATATGATTACTTTTTATTCAAATATACAACAAATGTATGTGAAGCACCTACTAGGTACTGATTACTCTCCTAGGTGGTTGGGATACATCAGTGAACAAAACAAAGAAATTTCCTTTTCCAGAGCTTATATTTAAGTAATGGGGAAACAAAGACAAACAATCAATGTAAAAGATAACTGATTTACATATTATTTTATAATGATAAGCTCTAAGGAAAAAATGCAAGACAGAGCAGGGTGAAGAGGACAGGCAGTCCTGGGTGGAGTGGGGGCAGATTGCAGTATTAAGGTGAACACATGAGGCCTCATTGAGAAAAGGAGATTCACATATACTTTGTTTTTATTCAATGCCACAAAAATAACAATTACTTACAGCTACTCAACTTCAATGTCTTTAGCTGGTGATATTTTAGCTGTTATGGGTTTTATCATTAAAAAAATAGACATATACTTAAATTGGTCTTCAAATTTAAATGCATAGCAAATTATCTGCTACTTATTCAGAAAGTCGGTGATTTCATAGATAGTACTGTTCATTGTGAAAACTAAGAAGTACCCTCTACACTTTATTAAAATAAATAGGAGTTAACCCAGATTTAAATCGACAAATGTACCCTGAAAAAATAATGTTTGACTTGAATAACAACAATTTCAAAAACAAAAATTCATCAACCCTGTAGTTCAAGAAGTGTATTTTCTCCCTTGATGGTTAAGGACATGTGGTTGAAGACATGGACAATCACAATAATGATACCTTTTCACTGTGAATGTCACTTCACAGCTTAGAATTATGTTCTGTGGCCTTCCCGACAATGCTTTGAGAAGGTTAAAGGACATATAATGAGTGAAATCAGAGGTGAAGGTGCTTTGCCAAAAGTGGCAAGAGAGGCCCATTCTTTCTAACTTCAGAGTCCTTATTCTTCTAACCGCACTGCCTTTCCTGCCAGGCATACAGGGAGCATTCCCCAAATATCCCCTTTTATCATGATCACGACTATGATGCCAAACACACAAAAATGAAAACCTCTGGGTGTAGTCCCACAAAGGGACCTGTCCTGCTCTTTCTTCCTCATAATTCAGTGGGGGACATGATGGAGTCATTCATTGTCTGTGGGCAGTAGATGCAGAGAATACATCCTCAGCTTACCCACCGTGAGGATACTGACCAGACAGAGAGAACATGGAGGAGGGAAGGCCCAAGAGAGAGAAAGTGGTTGCTCTGAAGCTTTCTAGGTAAACTTCCTAAACGAAGCAAAGCATAATGTCATCATCCTTCTTAGCTCAGGAAAAAAGAGAGTGGGTAAGCTCCACCTACCATTTACCTAAGTTGGAACTTCAAAAGAAGAAATGACTAATCCCTGCCTCCTGGAGAGCAGAGAAGGCAGCAAAGCCAGTAGCCAGGAATGGACACACTTCTGGCAAGCTTATTTGCTGACTAAGGGAAGTCAGTGGTGTGTGTGGGGAGGGGACGTAGGGTGGAAAAAGGGCTGGAAGGCTGACTATAGGCTGTTGGTGTTCACTGCCCACACCCCACCCTTGACAACAGCACTTTCAGAGGGAATAGCCATAAAACAATTTATGCCCCAAGACTCAGTTTCTATAATTCTAGAGACCTAACTTAAGAGGAAATTTTTTACCAAAATTTTTAAACTAACTAAATTCCCACAATAGGGGAATGAGAGGTGGACTATAATATAATCACTTAGTGGAGATTATTAAAAAGCAAGTAATACTGCTCCCCCCCTCGCATAAAATAAAGTGTCAGCAATCACTCTGGGGTGCATTGACAGGGGTGGTCTCTAGATAATGGGCTTAGACATGATTTTGTTTTCTTTTTTCTATTTTTTTTAATCATAGTTCAATTTTTCTAAAAACAGCATTTATTACTTTTATAATGAAAAATTCACTTTATCTCCTACATGGTTATAATGACCACCACTTGGGAAAATATTAATGATGGATATAGGTATGTGAAAATTAAAGCATATTTGAAAAATTACACCTAGTCTCACTTCCAAAAAAAAAAAAATAGAAAGAAATGCACCAAGGTGAATTATAACAAGTTTATGTATAACTTCTATTTATTTGCCAAAAGTCTTATAATATTACTTATATAATGAAAAGAAAAATATACCTTCTAAACATGAGCTAAGAACATCCAGCCAAATTCTTTAAACTATTTCTTTCCCATTTGAATCAATTTGTTAATAATTATCTCTAGTTTGTCATTCAATTTCCATACTGGTTTTTCCAGTTCATCGGTGTGGATATTTAGATACCAATAATTTTGATTGCTAAGTGAAGCTTTAGAAATGAACCTTCCAAAACTGACTATGATCCTGGTTACCTTTCAGTAAATGAATTTTTTTATTTTTAAACAAGGGCTCTATGCAGGTTTATGAACCTGACCCATACACACTCACATCTTTAGGTGAGGGGTAAAGAAAGGAAAATTTTCTGTTAGTTCACATGGACACCTGGGCAGAGGCAAGAAAGGTGTGGAGTTAAACATTTCAAAGGCAGTTTCATAACCTGTCCGATAGCTAATTCATGCATATACGATAGCGGTGTAATAGCTTAATTACTCAGAACTCTAGAACTGAGAGTATAGGGACCAGAGACAAGTAAAGTGAAATGAATAGTCTATTTTTATAAGGATTGATCAGAAACCACTTTCTGTTCCCATTCTTGAGGAAAACTGTTCTATAGGGAATTTGATCACAAGTGGTTAAAACGGTAAGTACACAGAATTCACAATAGTGAAAAATAGATTTTTCCTTCTGGATCTTTTCTCGACCTCAAGCTTAGGGTTCCTTCCTCTTCTCTTCTATTTCATTTCTTGAGACAAAGAGATGGTATAGTGAAAAGAGTGTGGGCTTTGGAATTAATCTGAGTTCAAATTCTGGTTCAGCTATTCACTACCTTCGGACACGTTAGCTGGCCATTCTGAACTTTTGTTTGCTCATGTAACGATGATACTATTATTACCTGGCAGCTTAATGAGAATTAAAAGGAGAAAAAGCACAATGTTGGCTTCATTCATAGGTATTCTGTAAGGACTCATTATACTCTGCCCCTCTCAACTTGGTATGGATACACATTTCCCTGGGAATCAAAGCACAGTAAGTTTTATGAGTCATTTTACCCTTTAATATTTGCTTTACTCTAAACTTTTCTCAGCTCCTTTCCTGAGAGCATGTTTCCAAAAGGAGAAGGAAAAGGTGAGCATATTTTCAGATGAAACTGGCCTGAATCAAGGACAGCTTCTTGGACCACTACATGCTGCTGCCTTAGAGTAAGCATAAAAGAAGTTATGTCATGGCCTGTTTCAGAGGTAACAGCAAAGACATTCACAAAGAATGTCCCAAATCAGGTCTCATGTAAACAGACAGGAGCTTTCGATAACTCATCCAATCAAGCACCTCCCATGTGCCAAACATTGTTCCAAGTGTTGGGGTCGAACAGTGAACAAAGTAAGAAAAAAATCCCTGCCTTCTGGAGCTTACATTCTTGAAGGAGGAAATAAACGGTAATGGTGATAAGTAAAATACCATCTTCAAATGGAATGAAGATAAAGAATAAAACAGGAAGGAGGGATCAGGTATTCCAAGAGTTCAACAGCAGCGCTGTTTTAAACAGCGTGGTCAGGAAGGACTCAAAAAAATAAATAGGTGACATTTGAGCATGGACCTGAAGCCAGTGAGGCGGTAAGCCACGAGAGGACAGAAGGGGCAAGGGTCCTGTGGTTACAACTGAGGAGGCCTGTGTGACTGGGGACCAGTGGGACTGGGGCAGAGTGAGCAAAAGGGACGGTGACAAGACACGAGGCAGAGAAGTAACTGGCAATAGACCATGGAAGACATTGCTGGCCATTACCTAAACTTTGGGTTACACTCCAAGTGATACGAGACGCTATGGGAGATAATCAGCAGAAGAGACATCCTTTGGCTCGTGTTTTAAAAGGAGCACCCTGGCAGGTGTTTTAAGAATAGACAGTAGTGGGGCAAGGGCAGAACCAGTCTGGAGGCTACTATAGTGTTTGGGGTGAGAAACAATAGTTACAAAGATTAGAGAAGATGTCTCCTGGAGGTTGCAGGCAGGGCGTCTCATATATGTTGCTGATCTCGTCTTGTGACACGGCCAGCAGCAGCCCTGACTGATCAAGAGTCGGGGAAATTAAACCTACTGGGATTAACACGAAACCAAAAGCATTCAGGAAATATGAGCGGCACAAGTAAACTCTAGAGGGGGCTCCCGATTACCCCCGCCCTAGCGCAGAGGAGAGTTCTTGGGCAGGTTCAAGCTGGCTTTTTAGTAGGATTCACGTCCCAAAGACCGCCCTTTGGGATCCT